ACACTGGATGCGCCATCGGCAACCGGGATTCGGCCAACACTGGGTCATGATTGGCTGTTCGTCCGGACTTTCGACCAATCAGACTTGGCTTGAGGCCGGACCGGCAAGCGTCCGGGTTTCCCGGCCGTAGCAACACTTGAGTGCGAGCGGTAATGAGGGATCGATGGATCCGTCACCAGGGGTTACATTTTTAAATAGGTTAAGCCTTAGACAAAGGCGAGGTGCAACTGGAAGAAACAGCGAAGAACGCTGTTGCAGCGCACATGAACCAAAGTAAGGTTATATTTGTTATTAAAATCCTACGAAACATTTCATGAACTCCCCATAGGTCACAAAAATGAAAGATCGAAAAGTTGTGGTAATAATGATAATCGTAAAGAGGGATACGTGTGGAACCTCGCCTAACAGTGGGGGAATTGGGAAGGGAGCTGCGCGTTGAAGGCAGTAGCCTGAATTCATGAGCGCCATTGAAGATGCGACTGGGCCATGTTTTCACTGGCTCTAAACATTGATGTACCCTTCTCGTGGTCCCCATCCAGAAAGACGTTAATGACCAGCGCATCTGAGTTTGCTGGTAGTGGCTTTCATACCTCGCTGCCAAGTCATTGTCTGACCACTTCTGGCTTGTTTCCACCCTTCACGTGTTTGTGCGAAAAGAGCCCTTCGCGGAAGTCGGTCGACCGACATACGCAGCTCATGGCCAAGCCAGCGCAACCTATGCGGTGTGATCAGTTCATCTATCGTGGTTGAAATGATTCTTTCGATACCATTCGACGTATTTCAACATTTGCTGATCAACTGTTCCCATCAGATTCGGGTAATGCTCCGAAGACATCGATGGTCAAATACTGAAAGTCTGACGTTCTCGGCGCGCAGCGGCCAGTTTTCTGATTATTTAGTAATATGGAGCGCACCACAGCATTGTGGTGACAGAGAAGCTGATGTCACGCCTACACCACAGATGACTCAGGTTCACAAAATCTACTCTGGCCTTTCCAATCCGGATGGAAATATTACTTTTCGCGAGACCACTGAGACTAATACAACTGCCCAGGTAAACAAATTTTTCTGCTACCTCAATCGGTTCATCCGCAAGCGTGAGGCTATGGTTCGAACCCACCCAGTCTTGCAGTAACACTTTACACTTTGCAGATGTGAAGCGCATGCCAAACAGTAAGGCGGAATTATTTAGATTACTTAATATTGTTTGCATTACCACGGAATTACGTCTAAGAAGAGCTATGTCGTCTGCATATTTGATATCTGTGAGAGGGAGGACTTCGCGCCCACAGGCATTAGAGGGTGGTGATGAGTCTTCCATGATCGTATCAGTGACGAAGTTGAAGAGGAAAAGTGAAAGAGGACAGCCCCGTCTGACACTACTTGATGTGGTGCACTCAGATGACAGCTTCCTGCAGACCTTCACACGGCCGCGGAAATTGGCTTACAGCCCCTTAAAGAGGATCAAAATTTTATGAGGGACACCTTGGCTCTATAGCCACTGCCATAGTGTCTGACGGTCCACAGAGTCAAAGGCCGCTTTCAGATAAAAAATGCAACCATTGTTGGCTTCTTGGAGCAGTGTCGCTGTTGTAGAATCTGTTGGAGGGTGAAGATATGATCGATGCAACCTCTTTCAGGACGGAACCCAGATTGGTTTTCACGGATCTATCTCTCCCTGTGTTCAGTCAACCTTCGAAGGATAAGGCCAGAGAGCCACAGTTAGCAGGCTGATGCCTCTGTCTTTTCACACGGCGTCCGCGTGCCCTTTTTGAAGGTAGAGATAACTGTCGACATGTCCCATTCTGTAGGCATCTTGTCTTCCTTCCATATAATATCAATAAGCTTTGTCAAATGGGTCACCGCTTCTTTGAAGAGGACTGGATACAGACAATCCGGTCCTGGTGCCCTCTTACGTTTCGGTTGAAATATTTCGTACCTTAGTTCTTCCGTCGCGCGATCAAGATTTACATACCATTCGCCCGTATACATCATCTCCACAGGCTGTTGCAGGAGGCCAGCTGAACTGCTCTTCCAAGTGTTCGGCTCATATTTTCAGTTGACGTTTTTGCGAGTGAATTAATGAGCCACCTTTTTCATCTATCGTTTCACTGACCGTTGCTTTCCTAGGGCCAGTCAATCGTATCAGTTGATACTACGGCAGTGAAGCATCGGTGTTGAACACTGATGTCATGCTGTCGATGATGATGATCAGTTGTTAAAGGGCACGGCTGTTTCCCGTAACAAAAGCCCTCTCTATCTCCCGAGCTTTCGATCTCCACCAGAGCTCTCGGTCTTTCCTTAGACTCTTCACTATTTGGCGTTTAAGGGATTTGCTTGTACTCGTTACCTTCTGGTATTGGCTTTCTTGGCATGGATAACGACCTCGACGACATATATTGGTCTTGTGGTCGAATTGGAGAAGTCAGACAGACAGTACTGAACGCCGCTAACATAACTCCTGTCATATTGTACGCGCTTCATCCACATGCTCACTGCCACCACAGTATTGTTTTACTGTGGAGAGTTGTCGGGCTAGCTCAGATGTATATTGTTTAGCTGTGGCAATTCTTCGAAGACAGTGGATTGGCATGCTTCTCGCTGACTTGCAAGGTCCTGAAGGGAAACAAACTCTCAGGCGTGCACGCACCATGGCGTAATCGGAATCAAGTGGTGTGCCCCAGAAGGAATGACAGTCTTGGATTGTGGCTCTCCACCGGTGGCTGATGACCACCTGGTCCAACTGGGTCCACGGTTGATTTGCAGTTGGTAGCCGCCAGGTTACGCGGTGCGAACGTTTATGTTGAAAGTTCTTACTCTCCCGAAGCAGTTCATGATCAGCGTACAACTTAAGGAGTCCATCTCCGTTGTCTGTGCGGCGAGCATCAACTCTGCATTGACCCCCCAAATGTGATATCAAGGAGCTCAGATGACCTATTTGAGCACTCGAATCGCCTGCAAGGATAAAAATGTCTGCATTTTGCTTGAGGAATGAGTTCGGATAGCTCTCGATAGAAAGTATTCTCTGCATCAGAACTGCAGCCTGTTGGGGCATAAGCCGACATTACAAACAGGCGCCTCTTTTTAGGCCGACAAGCATCGAGCTTGATTGAACTGGATAACTGGATGGCGCAAAGACGACTGTTCACTGGGATGCAATCCAGCAAAGCGCTTTCAATTCCGGGACCGAGTACAACTCCTACGCCATATATTCCACGAGTCATCGCTTCTAGGTCACTGGACACACGAAGGGAGAAATGTGGAAGAGCTGAGTTTATCCTTGGCGTCCTGAGGTGCATAACAACGCTCGGGTATAGTATGCGTGTTTTGGAGACACAGCATGTATCAATTTTAAGGGCGTATAAGGTCTCAGAAAGCATTGCTTGTTTGCCAGGTTGACAGAGTACGGACGTTAAAAGATCTCATATGGAAAATAAGGGTGTTATTTTGTTTATCATAGACAGCGAGGAGCGTAAGACCCTTCGGGCAGATAACTGAGAGTCAAATGATCCAGCGACGTTTGCTTGTGCGGTGGGAAGGGGTTGGGGAGGGACATTGGTGGACACCGAACTGCTCGGGCAAATGGTACTTCCCGGTTGCCCAGGCCGAGGAAGGGGATTTGGTTCAGGTACCCCACCTTGAGCCTCTGACTCAAAATCCTGACTCACGAGGCGGTGGGAAAATGTAGGGTTTTCATAAAGGAAACTACTCGCAAGGTTGCTGGAAACTCTTCGACGGTCCATGACCGGTTTCGCCCTTCTAACGATCAAATGTGATCATGTTGTGCAAATACACGTAGTCAGTTTCAACGCTGGTGTTAGTCGCATCACAGAGAGACAAAAATTAGTAATCGTGAAAACCAAATTGATTTACAAATGAGTGTAGTTCTCGAAAACAGTCCAACTTGGGTTCAAGTAGAACGAACGTATGACGGAAACTCGGCGACTGCGCCTACCTGGTGAGCCCCAAGAAGGGCGAAACCGGTCGTGGGCTGTCGAAGAGTTTTCAGCAACCTTGTGAGTAGTTTCCTTTATGAAAATATACTGCGATATCTCGAATATCGTGCTGCCAACTGAAACATGAGGCGGCCCGTATGCAGCACATCCAGTTGTAGAATATACTGAACGAGAGATTCAGTTGAGTCTCTCGTGAAAACCAAATTGATTTGCAAATGAGTGTATTTCTCGAATGTAGGTTTTTGTTAGGATACCCTGCCTGAAGCACTAGTGACTCAACAGTCTGACCTGCTCGGCTGCAGGGGGTTGGCCTAATCTCATTCCTGATGAGGCCGCCCAAGGCCTTTTGAGCAGCACCGGACACTTTGGTTTTAATAGTCTTTCGACCATATTGTATAATGCGCCAGCGGTCACGGTCAACCGTTGGACGATCGTAGTGTGCAGTTTTTGGGACCGACCTCTAACCCGTCCTTACTTGGGGGAACGCAGCAGCGCTGCTTCCATAAATAGGAACATACTGGTCGCCTGGGGGAAACACCCTACTGACTTCACACTTCTATCACAGTAGGACTTTAACCCCAAGCCGCCTCGTAGCACAATTACTCGTAGCACGGGGTCTCGCTGCTCTTGTCCTGACTGTTCCCATTTGGTCTTCCTTGCATGGTTGTACCTTGTGAAACGAAGTTCTAGCCAGTGTAGCTCGCGGGATCATTGCAGCGCTCAAGCTTGACCACCAAGTCAAGGTTGCAGCTTAAGGTCGGGGCAGAGTATCAGCCCGAACAGTTTCCGCACATTCTCACAACTTCTCTCTCCAAACAAATCCCTAGCTATCTGGGCCCAATTAACTTCTCGATCCTCGGAGGTACTTAACCTCCTGATTTCTGACAGTTTATCGAGTTGTACGGTATTGCCGAGCTTCTGATAGCCCAGTGCAAATTATTAGCTATTAACTATATCCCAAGGGCACGTTGGTTCCAACTGCCAAAGTTCCTTTCCCCGCTAAATGCGAGCGTTAGCGATGTAGCCGAGCATGGTGATGGCATAATGATTTGGTTCATGAGACGGAGTAGCTACTAAATGAAAGTGATAGCTTTGATGCTTAAGCGCCACGGAGTTTCGCATCTCTTAGGGTTCCTAATCGTGCCTCTTGTGGGCTGTCCATGAGCGAACAATTCAAGCTGCCTTTTTTGTGAAAAATCTGTCTTCGACAGGCGAATGTGAAAACAATGTATTCGACTTATTCTTGTAGCAATTCTACTCCATTCTTGTAGCGGAATGACCCAAGTGGTTAGGGCGCGGATTTACTGACCGGAAGGTCTGTGGTTCGAACCCGACCTCTGCCACTCGACCCCTTGTCTAGACCTGGGCGACCTGACAGTATCCCAGCCCTCGTGCTTCCTCCGAGTGGCATGGCAGCTATGCACCGGAAGGTTGTTACAGCTGAACGATTATATTATTATTATATTATTATTTAGCAATTCCACTCTTCGGATAGGAACTCTAAGTGCCATCAAATAGCAAGAGTTATCCTTAAGCAAAATGCGATGTAGTTTGATTCATTCTGATGATAAATGGTTGGCTTATTTTTTTTCTATCCAGCTCTCTTACGTCTGACAGAATTGGAAGCCTGCAGTTATCCCTCACAGTGCCACATCACCAATCACCTGAGACCTCACATGATTGATGGCTGTCTATGTTGAGCTCACTTGGTTCGCCTGGTTACTTATTTTGTGGGTCATATTCACATTCTTTGTGACCGCTTATTATGTGCTGCGATATTGTTGGAACTTGTCACGCTCACTCTTTGGCGCAAAGATCAGCGATGCTCAGGTATCATCCCCAGCTAAAGAGAAATCTTCCTGATGACATTCATCTGCAATACCAAACGCATTTGGTTCGTAGCACGATGTTCACCTCTCCCTCAATGCACCACAGAGTCCCAGAAAACAGCTGTCAACCATCCAGGGATTAACTGGTGACCTTGATCGATTACTTCTGCAGCCTCATATTGTATTGATCATCACTATTCATTTGCATTTTGAGCATTGTTCAGGCAGCTGAAATTCACATCTGTACCTACCCGCTTTTGTTGATCTACTGCGAAAAACGGTACACCATTTATGAGCATGATAATCGCCCGTTCATTTCTTACAACAATTGGATGGTCTTGGAGTTAGACTTGTGTAACAAATGAAAGTGTATGATCTGTTGAGGGAATTACTCACGTGACATACTGTGGTTATGTTCTGTCAGTCTTTAGATGTCTACAGGCACAAATGAGTAGGCTTGACAGCCTTGTGAGAAGGTAATCACGGCTGTTTACCCAACTTTCGCAGACGGCCTGTCGAACCAGCCGTTCAATACCAGACACATACTGTGACACGGTCGCATGGGGTTAGATAACGACAGACATATCACTAGATTCCATGAGAGTTTGGGGCGGGCCATCTTCGCGGCTTCCACTCAGGAGGGCTTCTCTAGCTGCCGAATAGAATCATTACGATGGCCTTGTTTGATTTCGTCTACTTCCCTGGAGTTTTCTCCATAGAGTCTACAGAGGCACTCTAGGACTTCGGTACTGATCTTACGCAATAACTTCGATCTAAGATGGCAAACTCCCACTATATAGCAGGTATCGGGCTTAGATGTATAAATCCTGAGGAAAAACTTGATTTCGTGAGTTCCATAAACAGTCCACCGGATGGTTCCGCCTAATGGGGCGGATGTAGAAAAATCCGTCTCGCGCGCTGTTCACTTGTCGAATTCACACTGCCACCAACTGCGCTTACACTCGTCTGCCAATCTCATTGGGATCCCTTCATTACCATTTCCGACTGATCAGCTTATTACTTATAAATTTTTGGATATTTTCAGAACTTCAGCTGTATTGAAGTACAGTTCGGCTGCCGGAATTATATCGAAATATTGGTAGCCGGGGTGTGTTTTATTGGTTGTTGATATGTTCGCCGAGCTTGGCAGTTGAATTGCACTTCGTCACCATTAAAAGAGACATCATCAGTGTGCAGATGATGATCCACTAATTTGTGACCAGAAACATTCAAGTTAGTCTCTAGCATCGCTGAAGAGGTAATCAGTGCAGCTGTTCTGTACTCAGTGAAGATTGTTGGCGCGCCGTAAAACTGTAGACGGCATCTGTCATATTTATCGACATTTCACCAGCAGTAAATACTACTTCCTAAGTGCCATACGACCACGAGGAAAGAATGTCCCAGTGGAGTGGGAAAAATAGGGACTGGGTTATTTGCCTTGGAAAAAAGATAGAGAACGGTGCCTACATCGCGGACCACCTGGGATTCACATCGGTGTAAGACGCTGTCAGTGATATTGATCCAAACAGCTCTTGCAAGCCCCACCAAACACGATTCAACACAAACTAGTCACACGGAGTGGCGATAAGCTCACAACTGAGAGCGGTCATGTGCCATTTTCTGTGGGCTTTCGAACTGCATGGACCGTGACGAAGAGGGCGCCAGGATTTCATAGCTCAGTTTGATAGTAGTCACTTCATACCGGTCCTTAACGAACCTTTCTCCAACAAAATTTCGGAGTGGAAACGTAGTACACGTCCTGGTCATGTATTGCGCATACCGAATCATTGCCAAAGCATACTGTTTTCCGTGCCCAATTCGGAATGGCGCAAGCAGAGTGGTGGTCGACTTTTGACTTTGCAGAGGGATATGAAAACGGCCACGGAAAGTCTAGGTACTGTCGGTGCAACTCGAATTCCAGGGAGTGGATCGCGTGATCCCACAGTTGGGACGCTGCAAAATATGGCTGCTAATCGATGTCCATGGCGTTTTGTTGTTAGTTTCTTTTCGGAGGGTCTGGGAGTATCGGAACAGCGGGATGATTACGGGAGACTAGTGCTACATCCCTTCACCACCCGCTTTTGTTCTTTTTGTCCCAACGGAGTTTTGAAACAAACTGTGGCTGTACTGCGGCGGGGCACCAATGGTGAACACCGGTGTACTGTCCATGATGGTGATAATTGTGATGCATCACCAAGTATTTGTTCGGGTATTGCACATTGCATCCTGTCATGCTGCGGAGGCATCGACGATCAACGGTTTGAAGCTGTTTATTGGTTTCGGGTCGGATGGGTCGTGAAGTACGGACGCTCTTACAGTTACCCTGTACAGTGAGATTCGTTTTTGGGACCACTAATGACACCTTGATAATGCGTTTCGTAAGCCTACTGATACAACCGCGGCCTATGCTGCTTTGCAGTTCGATATAGAGGTCGACAAACTCAAGGTTGCTTCCTCTGAAGTTTCAGAAGTACACGGGGGAACTGAATACCCAGGACCAACCGGGGCACTGTTGGTTATTATGTACCAAAACTAATTATGTCCGCATATTCTATTTAGAGACTAAAGAAAGTCGGGTAACTATAACATATCATCTGCGTCTTTCGAGCTTAGTGGTTTTTCTGCAGGTGCGATTCTCGGTCCCTTGAAATTTGCATTCCTCAATGATCGGTCGTTGGTGGGAAACATATACCTTCATATGGTTGGGAGCATCGTCTCGCGTACCGCTCTGTAGCAGAAGGCTGTAGCAGCAGATTAGCTTCATCTGTCTGAAACATGTTCGCAATTGTTAGCAAACAGTGTTCTCCCAAATAGGGACCAGTCGTGGGACCCGGTCAAACCGGTCCCTCCCTGGAGGGAGGTCCCCGTTGGGAGTGGTAATCCGACTCCCTAATTTCGTGTGACAACCAAATGGGACTTCATTCGAATATTCATTTTCATAGGGACTATGTTTTATTCACTGTTTGTTTTCAACTGGGTAGCAAACACGGGCTGCTCAGTTTCTTGTGCCACTCTCCATGATATGGGAATCAGACTGCCGTTAACTGTCGTACATACATACTTCGGACAGCATATAAGCCTTAAGACTGACCTATTTGAACTTCAAATGCTCTGAAGTGTTTGTGGCGTTAACTAGAAGAGCTGGACCGCCTGTCGCTGAGCACAGACTCGACCTTATGTATCATGACTCTGTATTGCACACGAGCCTTAGGACCATCCACTTTACAGTAGCTTCATTCGTCAAATTTATTGGGTAGTATCACGACTGCGTACCTGAGACAGCTAGTTCTTCGGCTTTAGAGATCCTGGTTCAACATAGCCGATCAAAATCAGTTTCTATACTGAACATTTTAACAAGTAGCCCTTGTTTGGTGATAGCAGAGTCTAAATTCCTCGGTTTCGCCCGGGAGGGTTTGACAGGGTTCGTGAGACCGAGGAAATGTGCCCACTCTAGGTGAAGGGAATCCCTATTCGGAGGAACAAATGGAGGCGACCATTATAACCTAAAAGACCTCATTAGAGCAGAACACAATAACGCTGATGGGAGGACATCCAACTTGATATACAGATGAATTCACGGCACTGAGGCATACGATTAGTTCACAGAATGAGAAAAGACAAATTCACAGACGATACCTCAAGTTGGAAGGAGTGAGACACGCGTTGACAGTTAATCAAACGGTTGTAAGTAATCTGCCCGGCGATCTGGACTATAGGCCGTACTATATGGTTTCTAATATCGCCTTTGATTAGCTCGCTAAAAGAAAAGGTCCTGGATTCTTTTCCTACCGAGTAGCTGAAAGATCTTCAGTGTGTTCCGTGATGCGCAAGCCTCCATTTCTTAAAATTTCTTGGTCCACCACACCCTGTCCACACAGGCGACGTTTTACGCTGATGTCCAACAGGTCGCTTTTAAGACAGGCTTTGATTTGTTGGCTTATTTAGTGGTTCACGAGGTTTTTGGTTGCAACAGTTCCTTGGATTCAGCCAGAAAATTTCATGAAAACCCACACCACGAATTCATGCATGCATCGGAGGACAACTGTCAGTCGAGAGCACTGAATCGTACCATCGAACTGATGAGTACAAAGGCGTCCTCTGTGCATGTGCACACTCTTTGCAATATGAAAAAGCCTTCCCCAGCTAACAGACTATTGAAGTTGTTATCGGATGTTTTTTCGTTGATGACAAACATTAAAAGGACGTCTGGGGCTTCATTTCACCTGGCGCCGTCACAAAGGTGAGGATGGTAGCCTCCGGGGTTGTATCAGAGGAAGGTGGATTCCGAGCAGGGAGGGTTCATCATCATCAAAGACAGCAATATCAGTGTTGGCACTGATGCTTCACTGCCTTGAAAGATATTTTTAAGGGACCGATGGAAGCTATCTTCGATCCAGCTAAAAGGGTTCACGCGAAAATGGACTGGGCCGCCGAGAAGAAAGCCTCCACGTGGACTTCGATTGGCCAGTACATTAGGAGGTGGCCAGGCTGAGAGCAGGCGGTGACGTTTTTCTGAGAACCTACAGTATTGTTGAAATTCCCAGTGATCAGGACTATATCTGAGCTCTCCGAGCTGAATAAGAGAATGGACATTTCTCGATAATGTCTTTCACTGAATCGGAGCTACATTTGGGGGTGCATTGGCAAAAACTGTAAATACAAAATGCACAGACGAACGGCAAAGAAGCGGATGTTTGTGGGTATTCATTTAAACAAGGAAGTACTAGCGCAGGAGCTGAAAACTGCACCAACACTGGCGGAACTATCTACCGCAGTTGGAGAATCACCTAAATTTTTGTCAGTGCGTCTGGACAGCGGAGGTGGTGTAGACGGTACGGGTAATCGGTTTCTGAAGTGCAGCAAACAACTATCGATCAAGTGTCAAGATGGCGTTCAAGGGCAACCTACTAGCCAACTCGAACCTGGATGCGCTGACAACGGGAGTATGAGTGATCAATCAATTGGAAAATGTTTGAGACCGATGGGGAAGTCATCGTTTCAGAGTATGAGTGGTTGTTTGGCGGCACATTTGAGTGGTGGTGTGTAATCAGTCAGCGATTCCAGAACGGTGACACTGACTCTAGAATGTAATGAATTCACACGCCGAATGCGTTCGGACGATTTTGTGAATCGAGGTTTTGTTCATCTCACATCAATAATCGTATATATGATAGATGAGTAGACAGGATGAATTTTGGAGTCAAGGAAAGGTCGTAGGTGTGAACGTTTATTTTGATACACACTTCACGTCCAGGATGTTTGTGTGCACTGAAACATCTTCCACACTGTTTACAAAAAAATGCTTGACTATCGACTCAAACAAATCCTGAGGCAATCTGCGTGGTGAAACTCCTTCGAGTTTCACGTAAACATCAACACGAATGCGCAATTTATTCCGCACGCTCAATCTGTTTTTCAATCAAGAGGAGAGCAAAGTTTGGAGATTGCGCCTACCTAATGAGCGAGTGGCTTTTGCTCAATATTTCCCACTAATTCGGACGAGAATAAGCTAGAGGTACACATAGGTTTTGTTATGAAGTTCATCTTGGTGCTTCGTAAAGCCTCACGGATGTTTGAGTGTCGACCACTCTCTTAGTGAACTTACAAACGGACATTTTGAACTGTAAGGGAGAATGAATGTCACAGCAAAAACTCGAACGTTTTCCCTTAATTATGCACGAACTTGAGTAACATATACTTGAAGGGATCCGAAGGTCGGGAATAAGGAACAAACATTTTCATGCTCACATGTTACGTTTATCGAAAGCAAAAAAGTGGGAGCGTAGAGTCAACGTGTGAAGATTTTAGGTTAGTAAAATCAGCTCAGGCGAATACACAATTTGGCGAATGTATAAAAAAAGAGAGAACGCTACACAAAAGCCCAGCAGTCGTGTAAAAATAGACGCAGGGGCACCATCTGTGGGTTTGGAAACAGATTGCCTTTGTGAATGCGAGCGAAAGACGAGAGATCGGAAAACACAGGTGTGGATGTGCCGCCGCTTGTGTACAAAATCCGGTGTACACATGGGTGGTGCTAGGAGTCATCTGATTCGCTTAGCTGATCCACAAGTGTAGGTTGTTCCTGCAAACTGATCCTGACAGTTTTTATCGTGTGAGGAGGGTCAGCCATCAGCATGTCCGAGGATGTTGACGGTTGGAATAGATAGTGACAAGGCAGGAGCCATAGGTAGACTGGACCTAGAAGGAGAACAACGAGTTTCATGTGAAGAATAGAAACTTACTAGACAAGCGGTAGTTGATTTTAAGGGAAACTGGCGGGTTGATTACAGGAACAAGTTTTTCCCCTCTCTGGTACTTCAGTTACAATACGACTTTGTCTCATCACAACGTCACTATCGGGTTGCCGAATAAACTGACAGCAAGCAAGGCGAGTTGTAACAATCGAATCTATCAATAAATCTCAGTGTGAGTCAGTTACACTGCTGATCAGTCTCTCGTAGTCCAATCGTTGAGTTTTCAAGCTACTGACCGGTAGGTTGCAGGTTGAAAACTCCCAACTGGAGCTTCGTAAGGATGCGTACTGCTGGTGATCACCTACCAGGCTAAAATAGCTGTACAACAACAAATGAGCCTCGCGTTGGACTGTGCTATAGTAGGCGTTTTTTGGTACTCAACCACTGAGAGTTGTGTGTTCAGTTTAGAATTTAATACACTACAAATAGATTAGCGGTCTCGGTAGTATTAAGCATTACAACAAAATAATGAAGAAGGTTCTTAAGGTGGTTTGCCTGAGAGTGATCAAGACCATCTGACGTGTGATCTGTGCCTTACAGGTAGCCTAGATCACAACGGCCGACGAAGGGCTTTGGAGTTGAGTTATCCCCATCAATAATAAGTAATAATCGTTCCGCTGTAACACCCTTCTGGGGCTAAGCTGCATGTCACCCGAAGTAAGCGCGAAAGCTGAGCTACTGCCTGGTTGCCGTAGAGGTGCAGAGGTTGGGTTAGAACCACGGACTTTCCAGTAGTCAGTAAGTTTGCGCCCCAACCACCGAGCCATCACGAGCACCCATACAATTTAGCGTGGATTTACCAAGCACTCAAAGTTTGGTACATATCTCCAATCTACGGCACTGGATTAGCTGGAACCAAGTCAATTTCCAAAAAAAAACCGGTTATGGAAACTGATGCATACGTATCACAGATCCACGATCAATTTTACTCGTTTTGTGTCTACACTCTGCTATCCCAGTGCAATTATTCTGTTTTGTCCACGGGAATCGGAAGAAGTATGGGCCTCCAGGTTCGCTCTTCAGTAGTTCATATTCCTAACCGCAAATACCTACAACCGGCGACTTTTTACACTAGCTGTAACGTAACTATGACAGTGGGGCGAGTTGGCTCAAGTGGCTAGAGCGCGAATTTACTGACCGGAAGGTCCGTGGTTCGAACCCGACCTCTGCCACTCGACATCCCCTGTCTAGGCTTGGGCGACCTGGCAGTATCCTAAACCTCGTGCTTCCTTTGGGTGGCATGGCAGCTAGGCACCGCTACAGCTGAACGATCCGAACTACGACAGTAAAACTTCCGTCAGTCACGGCACAATCAAAGACTGTTCAGTAGCAAGAATCATGTCCCAAGCATAATGGAACAAGCACGTACAGTCAGACGATTTATTTGTCAATGATCGGTCGAAGTGAGTTTAATTTAGCAAAACACGTTTATTCAACTGAACCCACAACAGAATTGGTGTTGTAGGGGGCAGGTAAAGCTCAACTGCACGATGAACAGCGCAAGTGCAGTCGTTGTGACAAAGATACAACAAGCGCACCGAATCATGTGATCTTTTTGATGCAATTTAATTGAGGAATGATAAATGCCACGAGGAACTTACCGGTCCCAAAGACTTCTTGGAACAATGCACGCTTCGAAAGACGCCGACGAAATCCACCGGCTTCCATGTCGATTTCACCACGGCGTGTACGATTCTGAATTGATTCGATCGCTGTTTCGTCCTCTACGATCGACTTGTACTGAGTGTGAGGGCAATAATATTGATATATATATTGAATTTGATGAGAGATGGGTCAAACTGATGGTTTTTCGGAGTGAACAGACCATATGCTGTCTCCGAGTTCCCAGCCGAAAAGGACAGCCCGGGGTCCCACCGTCTACGGTCTGGACTGATTCTTTGATAGGACGTGCATTTTACTCGGGATATTCTCTCTAACTTTAAATTGATGTGAGAACAGTCATTATGATATATACCAATCGTGACTGGAACTCCAATGTTAACCCCAGGGTTTCCGTGGACGATGTTTGTGTTGAATTCCGGCTAGAAAGGTGACATATTCGACGTATTTTGTTGTCTGGTTGATTGTGACTGTGGTAACGGACTGCCTTTTATTTTCTGTGCAATGGCCCGGCGTCCTCGTGTTTTGCGCACCATCTTGCGACAAATAACTTTCACTCAGGAGCACCAAAAACCTTCTGTACTTCCCCAGAAGGTAGGCATAACTTGTCAACGAATTCCCACTAGAGTCCGCTTGTTTCTTCTGTCAGCCTACGGAAAACTGGGTGCTATTGGTTGGCCAGAAAACAGCCATGGGTAAACGGAATTAACTTAGCGATAAGCTTTGTACACTTCCTCACATGTGAAAGCTTTCTTCAAGATAAGGGATAAACCGCAATCAAGGTTTCCATCAAAACTCGACTTCCTGTGAACGGAACTGGATAAATTCTACTCGTGAAAGCAAGACCAGAACTCATGACAATATTGCTTTCATCAAACGGCTCAATAAAACCGAAAATTATTCTAAAAATGGTCATGACAAAGCCGTGGGCACACTATCGTTGAAAGAGATTTTGAGGCCATTTTCAGGTCTCAAAACCTTTACAAATCACTTCAATACGTTCTTAACATGGATAGTAAATTTGCACCGACAACCCCCCATCGCTAATTCAGTTTTAGGTTCGCAGACTTTTGTGCAAACTTTGTGCTAAAACGGTATACGGGGCCTCATTAGAGTGGAGGAGATCAGGACTAAAATTTGGACCCGAGACATAGCTCGGTGGTTCACGGAGGAACTTAATGATCAAAGGGCCCATGGTTCGCGCCTAAGCTTGGTGAACATGACAGTATCGCAGTCCTAGCGCCTGTTTCGAGTGGCATAGAAGCTAGACACCGAAAGGGTGTTACTTTGGACAGTTCAACATTTGAGGGACAAGCGTGAGAGGCGTGAACCAGAGCGTGGTTCTGTCAGCTCTTCTGCCCTCCAGCCAACTCACGACAGTCTGGCGATATTAAACACTGTAGAAGACCAACCGTACACATTCATATACTTAGTAGGTGCTAATGTAGAATCAAAACAAGCTCCGAAAAGACCGCTGGATTACAGTGTGCTTCAACCGAACACAACACCTGCTTTAAGGCTCAGCTGATCGATGCTCAGTAGGTGAGGTATTATGGCTTATCAGTTACCCCACTGCTTAAGCCAATAGGACGTGTACCAACCGGGGTTTAAGCAACAGGCATCTCTGAATGAGAACTTAGAACAGTGAGGCCATCTTCAAAAACAATAAGCCACAGATTTGAAGACATAGTTATAGCAGACGCAAACCAGTCAACATTTACAGATAAAAGGTATGATGACATAGACTGAACACATGAAGTCTTGTGATAAAAAATTGGAGTGGGTCAGCTCCAGGATGACCTGAGTCAATACTTCTTAGGCACACAAAGCTGCTTGCTGTGCTTCACAGAAGTAGATAATAGCTTCGTGCTTTTGTTGCACAGCAGTATTCGAGAAGGGTCGACTAGATGACCTGGCTCACACATGAGTCACGTGATTTGTGACTCGGTTGTAATCTGCCAGCTGTACCGTCTGTAGCACCTTTTCTGTTGAGGGTCCAGAAACCTGTTGAGAAAGGTGCCCGTCCTATCTGCCTCCGTATGTTCCACTGAAACGGCAAGTGAATCGCGTGCGGAAAGATGACCAGAGACACCCTTGAATTAAGTCCTCAGATTGCAGACAACAAACTCAAATGAGCGGCTGAAACCGAGCGATTCCGTGCAGCTTAAAGTTTGGTCTCACTTTGCTAACAGTGTGATTACCCTTGGGCGGTAGACACGATGGAAGTTCTTGCTTAAAAAACAGTCCTTATCGCGTCTGAGACCATGGGAAGGGTCATAAACCCGTCTGAGTAGACGTTTGTGATCAGTGTCCGTTTCAAGAATGCACTTTGTTCTTTAGCTGGCTGGGGCCTGTGATTTGTATCCGCCTGGGTCGGTGAAACGGTGTTTCCTCACTCATATACGACTGGTGAGAAACTGGACCACTCTAGGCGGATTTACTGCGGATCGCAAGGTTCAACTTGGGCCTACAGACACGGAAACAACGAGGAAGGTTAAACTTACGTTCGACTCGACCTCGTGGGTAGATATGATGTCAGAAAAATAAACCAAAAGCATAACCAGAGGTAAAATTTTGAAAAAAATGAGAATATCACATAACTGTATCCGTTCTATTGCCAAAAATGTCTTCCAGTGTTTGGGAAAGAGGCTGCCCATCAATCTACCTGTAAGCCGTTTCCTCAACACCAAAACGAATACTCTGTTAGTAGACAGTTCACCTGCACATCTACTGAGACACCGCCCTCACAAAGCTGATCAACTGCTTCTCTTAAGGGGACATTAATAAAAAAAAGGGACCAACATTAGACAAAGTTCAAAGATTCTTTCAAACAATGGAGTGTTTACAACTTTCCAAGTGGGAGCAAGAGTGTTCACTAACCAACGAGGAATTGAATTTCGCACACGTAGAATCGATCACAATGACAACTAGCTTGTAGATTTTCGGTTAACTCCGCATTCGTGCTGTTTAGGTTCCAGGTGCCTTTCTCAGCGGGTTTCCCAGCACTCACCAGACACTGTGCAGCTGGGAGATAACAACGATGCATAACCGGAGTCACCAGTTGGTGGGACCCACATCTTAATCGTAACGAATGCCCCAGAAACCATCCAGTCACCAGCTTGAGCTCTCTATGCACTTCGGCATGATTGGTTCAAAAAAGCTCCCTGCTTCGTGAGCTCCACGTACACTCGGGATTTACCGAGTAGCGGTCCATTTGCAACATGTTGTGCAAAACTTTAACCCTTCTTTCTTAGTTTTGCACCGATGGTTTTGCAGAGTTCATTTGTGTCGAAGCAAATAACTATGTATGATTCGTGTTCTCCTTCAGAGATCTTCCGTCGTAGGCCGGCATGATTTGATCACGTGAGGATCCAAAGGAATTCAGCTCAAATGCATGTTTTTCTATCACAAGTCTTCGCATGGGAAACCCAGAATTGTTTGTTCTATATGCCACGAGTAAACACCTGACTTTTCCTGACACGGGGAACAAAATGATCAGAACGATTGACTTCAAGAGTGACGGTTACAAATAGCATTGATTCTGGCATGGTATATATTTTTTTCACGTTTGTGATTGGTGTGGAGGTCGATTACGGTGGACTGGATCTGTACCCTTAAGTGTCTAACTTTGAGCTCTGATCAAACTGTTGATCGGCTACTCGAGGTCGGATGTTACAATCTCCCACTACTAGCCAGTTTCGAGTGTGCTCACGGACATGCACTGAAAATGGTCCTCAGCAAGGATGTGACAGCTGTGCGATATTGTTAGGCTTTCCAGTAAAGACTAAATTCACGTTTTTGGATAAACTGAACTTTGGCATGTACTTTTTGCCCACAGGTTGTAAGGTCATGCTCCTGGAAATGCAGTCACTGAACACACCACTTACAATCTAAGGAGGGGAAACTCGGAGTTGTGGAGCGTTTTATGACAGTTATTAGTTCCGATTCTAAGGTTGTTGTTGACCTTGTATAGGGCTTGGCAGTGCCTCCATGGATCCAGGCTGTGTGATACAGAGTACAGAATAACCACGAAGTGAATGAACACTAACGAGCGAACAAGGGGGAAACGTGTAACAACATACTGGGACCAGTTCATGAACAATAATATCTATAGGGCACGACAGTTCCCCTGTGGCCAGACCACCTGAAGTGACCGATCAGAGTAAAGCTTCTTTTGAGGGTTATTCACAGGAGGACAAATACTGTGGCACACGGAGGGGTTTCGGCACAAGAGGACGCCAGTGCAGTTTGAGCCTGGTCAGTCTATCTACAAAAACACTTAAACAGACAGATGGAATGAGCACATAGATCGTACTAACGACGAAAGTAAGACCAGAGGTTTCCAGTTATCACAACTTCATGTGAGAATTACGTATACGTTGACTGTAAAAAGCTATCCACTTGGACAGACGAAGAAGTCGATGCACAAAGGCCAGAAGTGCACCGTGTGAGAAAATAGAAAGCCACCGAAAGCGTGCATTGGTCCGTCGGTTGTCACCCTTAGCAAAATGTGAGGCTGTTGATACTACCTAAAACGGGGGATATGGTCTTTGGAGGTTTGGGTTCAAACTGGTGATTTCTAATCGAAGAGGATGACTAATACATCTCAAAAACTGGGACACAGAGTCAGTGAAGCGTTCTTTCTTCGTAGTAATGGGAACATCACGAAGCGATCGCTTGACAAAGGTTTGTTTTTTACATTGAAACGGAGGGAGGTCAGTCCCCTTTTGCGGGCTCCTCTTGGAGCTGGCCTCTTATTGAACAGGTACAACTGAGATCGATTACTGTACCTATTCTCATAAATAAAAACGAAAAACTGGGTACACCGCCTTACTCACTTGATCAGAAAAGATGGCCAGTACAAACAGTCCGAACAGACAGCAGATGGCTATCAGAATCACAGTATGCACTCTAGATTGGGCGGAAAAGAAAGAGAAATGATGGAAGCTCGTTAGTCAAAGCGATCGGCATGACAAATGATGTCCTGTCTGAAAACATGCCGGCTCAGACGTCAGTGTATGCTCGAGAGGTTGAAGCAACTGTAAAAAAAACGGATACGACAGCGGATTGAATTGAATCAAAAAGTAAGAGATGTACAGTATAACATGACCGACAGCACTGTAGTAATTCCCCAGGAAAACTAGACATGGGAAATGAAACCTCTCTTGAAGAATGAGTTGTTTTTTTGGCGTCGGCACTCCTCACCAGAAGTCATACTTTTCAGCAGAGATCTATACTCGCCCGAAGAGAGAGCAAGTATTCCTCATTAGTACTGAGTTTGACGCCACTTCCAGTAGAGGTGCGACACCGTCTTTAGTGTACCATGTGCTCTACACTAACCTAACCGCTAATGATAAAGGAAGATTGAAAACGCAGTTTCGGAATTGCAATAGGCTGAAGCCCTCGCAAATAGTCGTTATGGAGTAGTTGGAAAAACACTATAATCTGATTTACTGCTATGATTCTCTTTTTTCCTCTGCGTTACGAAAGCTTCGTTAGGCAAAGTGACTAGGTTGCAGGATTGGTTGAACTAATCAATAAAATGTACCCTTAACAGCAAATTTAATCAGTATTACGTGTCGCCTGAGAGTTTTTTGTCACTTGGCCGCTATCAAAAGGGAAAAGTTTAGGAATGGAATCTTCGACCTCCCCGGATTTGGCAAAAACCAAACTGAAATCTTTGGCCGAACACTACGGTTCAGCGAGAGTCTTTGCGCTTTACACAAACGAAACCTTTGCAATGATCAAACTTGATGAGGTCAGTGGTTTTCACGAATGTCCCTGTGAATTACGTGACGTAATTATTTGTTTCCCTATTCCTCAGGCTAATTCATCACCCTTCCGGTGACTGCTCAAGTTTCAAGACTGAACTGTTCTACTTTATACAAAGTCGACTCTACCTCAAGCGTTTTTCTATAGACGATTTGTTCACATTCATTTCTGGGCTTGTTGTTGAAAATTTGTCCCAGTTTGAACTGAACACATTTCTCCCGCTTAATTTGTCCGCTAGCACACTGCCCTTCGTGTGACATTCCGTGTTGCTAACTACCCAAGGTTCAATCCAGCCGTAAGCCTTTCTTTAATTCTCCTCACGATTTACTGTTAATTTCCCATAGAACCACGGTCTACCTACCTATACTGTCTGCCCACGTTTAATTCAGTATATTGTTCACTGCCCAATTGCGACTACTGAACAAACGCAGGTGAAGTGCGTAGAATTCGGTTTCGCCGCAATCATTGCACAAGTTAAGATATATAGATGACGTTTTAAAATGTTCGTCACCCCACACTTAAGCGGTATACGCTAACATCGTCCATCTCATCAGTGTTTAGTGAGGTCAAACAGCAGTGCACAAAAAGACTCGACCGAATAGCAGCTCAAACAAAAGTCAAAAGCAGACTTCAACAAAGTGCGCACCTAGCGAGTTTAACTGAGTGATAAGCAAGAATGCTTCGGTATTAAGACCAGCTAAGAAGTATGGTACCGCGGCTGTCAATCCATATCGGCGGGAACATTTGAGAGTGGGTGTTTTAAGCACAGTCAACATTAGGGTAGTGTTCCAGAAGAGAAAACGATGCGCACAGTAGTGATGAACTGAGAGGTGGCCCAGTTGAAAGAAATGGGAATCGAATGGAGCGACTGCACTAAGATCTACATAGTAGAGGCAGTTAGGGGATTACACATCACACCTGGCGAGCGAAACAGAAGAATGAATAAACCAGCCAGACGAATAACACTCGTTGTTCAAACACTTGGCGGGATATTTAGTAGACAGAAAACACAGATTAGACTGAAACTGTGGAAGTTTTGAGGTAGGGACTGGGAGCCACACCAAAGTTACTGATAACAGAGGCAGTGAAAATCGCCAGCAACCTCAGTGTGAACTGGTGAGTGTGGAGAGCAGTTTCGAATGACACGAGTTCACACGTGACGGTGTGCAAGTACCAGTCAAGGAGAGCCACTAACAAAAGTGATTTACATGCAAAGGTAGAAAGACCAACCTGGAAATCTCAAGTAACTCCATTCCGCCAACCCAAATCACCAAAACTTGTGAACAACATTCAAGAGGGATCTTCACTTCAGGTGATATGAACCAGGATGAGGAAACTAAAACCTGACCCACATCAGTGTAAGATGCATCACAAGCCCATCTGTCTGATCCTCACCAACTGGGCCTGCTGTCAATGAGATATCCTGTCGATAGGTCCACTGACTGTCTTAAAACCCGACTAACCTTGAAACCTAGACAACTGGCCTCTATAATATTTTGTCCCGTGAAAAAAGAAGCCCATTAACAAATCTACCGGCAGTTTTCCGGAAGAAAGTTAAAACCCTGCTTAACTCTACAGTTCAGACTAGTATGCAGTTGAACATCTGTACGATCAAGAGTCTTACCTGGCCAACAGGTTGTTCATTTTTACTGATTGCGAGTGTGTTGCGTATGGTATTTGCTATTCACTCCAGTAGTGAGTCATATCAAGCCCCCACCCCACCCCTGGACAAACAAGATTTGTGACTGAGTTAGTTCAGCAAACAACACTGATTGTGGAAAGGTTGTGACTCAAAGAATTGATTTTGATAGCAGCATACATGTGTTGGCAACAAACAGAGTTAGGCCGTTCCCACACAGAACCCTACAGACCTGAAGCACCCCCAAAACAGCCATCAAACAAACCAATGGAATAAGAGGCAAACAGACCACAACGCAGCAAAAATCACGATCGGTCCTACAATACCAACTAGCCAATCACATGACAGGATATTAGGTACTCTTCAAAGACTACATAAACGCAGCTAGGCGCGGAGGAAGCACCAACTCAACTGAGCACTGACGATGTCTCCTCGACTGGGGACGAAACGTTTGGAAGTCAAGTGCCAAGCTCGACATTCCCACTCTACCGCTTCCGTGAGAAACGCTGACAAGTGGTCATCATTGAACAGCACGAAGCCAATTTCCTTTTGTCTGGGGTCATAGTATCGGGGTTATGCAACTTGGATATCCGTATGCCACAAGAGTGGCAGTGTTACGCCCACCCCCGATACCGGCATTAGGCGCGTGGCTTAAACAAGTATGCCCATAAAATTATCAGATATACATGCTCTCAAAACTGTGCAATGAGCCCATACTAATTGGCGGAGATTCAGTTAGCAAGTGTTATGCAACTGGCTGAGTATGCAGCGGGTCCAACAAGGTGACATTCATCGTTCTTATCGGTCATCAACCATGCATTTCTTGAAGATCTCGTAACCGACTCCTAGAAACTTCTATGTTGAGGTGTTGAGGTCCCGAGAGTCAATATATTTCCCCCAAAATGGTGAGCTTGTAGGAGCCAAACTAACAGTCTTACAGAAATGCCCTGTGAAGTTCGGTGCATCGATCGCGTGCCAGTGAATGGAAAGCGTCATTTGCCTTGTAAGGAGCTGTCAGCTGGGCATATTTGGACAAAATATCGTTGCACATTGCACTATGTGTCTTCGCACGACGGTTTCGACCCGTTGTTTTCTACTTTCGTTGAACTAGGTCAACACGGCAGGTTGAATGGCTGTAGGGTAACTGCTTTGTTATAGCAGTTGGTTCCGACCTGTAGTTTTCACGTGAACCTAATCGCATTCACAAGAGAGCGCGAGATTCAATGCCACGTTGAAGAGTATACATGCGTACTTCATTTGCACTTTAACTGAGCTCGAGATGCCTCAGTGGTTAGGGCACGATTTTACTGACCGGAAGGTCCAGGATTCGAACCCGACCCCAGCATATTGAATGAGTCTGTCTAGGTGTTCCGACAATATCCTAGCCCCCCTGCTTCTTTCGAGTAGCATGACAGCTAGTCACCGAAGAGCTGTTACAGCTGAACGCTTATTATATCATCATTCCTGCATCCACTGAGTGATCCAGCCAGAACACTGGAAAACAAACGGGGCTTGGAAAAGTCTGGAAGGAAACATGATGATTCGGTCGAAGTTTATGCAACAGAGTTTATCAGTGTCATAGCAGACAGCCCAATCCATTGCGGCTTGGACGCTCTGTGATGTAGTCGGTGTGTTCCAGGTTCGTAACTAAAAGCATGCATGTGGTTGAGTTGCATGTTGCCCAACAGACTACGTCGTTTCATGTGAGCAGAGCATGCGGTGTGTGACAGATATATACACAGAACTATCTCTGGTCTACACCTAGTCATTGAGATAACTGCCGAGTGAGCCAGTCGGTCGAACGTTTTCAGAGAGCATCAGCTGACTGTTGAATTCCGGTAGTTCCAAAGTCTTAAGGAGTTCACACACAACAAGCTACAGAGAATCTTGAATGATTTGGGACCCCAAATGGCGCATTAAATTCACCAGATATTGAATTAAATCGAATGAAGATATCAGATCTGCTAACACGACTAACAGCTTTGGTGTCTGAGGGTTTTTCAACACCTGGAAAAAAGTTAACGACAACCAGTTAACTGCTCACAGAGTTGTTTACATCCGGCTTTTGTGTGAAGGAGCTAAACAAGTCTCCTGAACCACGGTCAAAAATTGAGGAGAAGAATGCGGGAAAATCTGCTGCGTGAGTCGCATGATTCAAGTACCCAACGCAACGTACTAATCAATCAGTGAACGATCGAACATGACTGTGTCAGCCTACGACCACATTGGAACAGAGTTGCTTCACGAACCGAGCCGCCGTGTCCAGCAGTTCTGCGGCACTGAGGTTATCAGTCGAGGTTAAAGGGCAATCTGAGCTAGCCACAGTGATTGGAAGTCATTCCCTGTAGCACCCAAAGATGCATCTTTAAAAACTCTTTCTTTGATTGGCTGTTATTTATCGATCAAACTACACGGTGTCACGTCATTGGCTTACTTGTGCATGAGGGTATTCGCGGCTTTCTAACGTGCGATGGTAGAGCTTTGGAGTTCAACATATGGAGGAAACATTCTCTGATTGGCTGTTATTTATCGATCAAATTACACGGTGTCACGTCATTGGCTTATTTGCGCATGAGGGTACTCGCGGCTTTCTAACGTGCGATGGTAAAGCTTTGGAGTTCAACATATGGAGGAAACAGTAGCTGATTCTAGTGTTTCATTTGACGATCTCGTTTAGGTTAACAACTGGAGTGCCACGAAACCAAAAGTTCTCTTTCGTGCGCGGTTCCTTTAGAATATATGGTGGCTATCCGACGGGTGAGGTAAGCCTGTAAAATGGTAGGCCTGAACCAATGCAAATGGCTTCAAAATAAACCGAAGTCTATTTGGAAATACGGAGACGAATATTACATTTAGATGAATGAGTAGACCAGAAGGTCTGAAAACGGGCATACAGGATGACGAATGCTCAGTTGGGAGTTTAGTATTTGACCTGGATCTACCGTGATGCGTCAGTGAGTTGAACTCAAAACTAAGGGGTCCGAATGATGTCAGCCCTAAGCCGTTACTCGGAGCTAGCTGGCGAATCTCATAGAACTGCTCTGTATGTCACAAATGTACCATGGTTGCGGTCCGAACAAATCATTAACAGGGTAAGGCAAACTAAGGGTGAGGTCAAACTTGGATTTTAGTGCTAGGTATCGACGTTTACCGATGCAATTTTAGTGCTGTGCGTTGGGTCTGAAGGGGGTAGGCTAATGAAAAAGCTTCGACTTCAGGGGTCCTTTGAAGAACAAATGAAATGGGAGTGAAAGATGATTTAGGGGAAGAGCAATTGTAAGCAGTTCCAGAGTTAAGATCCCATAGCACAATACAATGATCCAGGCGAATTCGGTCGTACCAGAGAGGTAGTCGCACTACGGGGGATTGAGTAACATAAGACCTGCGGCGTCATGTATCCACATGACTGGATTGAGCGAATTGTTGTATGAAACGGCCTTGGGTGGAAGGACTGTTCAGCACGAAAATGATTACGAGTGGGCAACATAAAGATCCGGCCGGAATCGCGATACTGAGGCCCCGATGGATGCCACCCAACTCGTGTGAATGTTCGTTTTAGCAGATCATATTTAGACAATTCGACCAAGCACAATAAAGTTGACGGCAGATAAAAAAGTAAGGTAATCGTTCGGTACTTGGCTGCCGCGCCATCCGAAGGAATCATGATGGTTGAGAAATTGCCACGTTGCCCAAGCCTAGACGGAACAAATCGAAATGCAGAGGTCGAGTTCGAACCGCGAACCATCCAGTCAGTGAGTTCGAGCCTTAACCTTTGAGATATCCAGAGCGTAAAGCGATAGGTACGCTTCACGTAAACTACCCTTTTGAAAATGCGGTGACATACTAACAAACTGCTCATTAGTGGCCAGCTGTATCCAAAGAAGAAACTAACGGGAGACAGTAGTACGTACTAGCAGTGTATTTTAGTTTCGCAGTTGTAAATATGTGCTATTATCATCTAAACCAGGGTCGGATTGTCTTTGTTTTGGTTCCCGAACATTCCATTGCAAAACACCAGCGTCTCAGTTCGACTGTGTCTTTTAACCTGAAATCTTCCTTGCAAAGGTAACAGAATCCCCTCTAGATGTGGATGCATTCTCGTTGGATAGGGAAACAAATGAGCACCATCCCCTACGTCTTTCGTACCTGTTTAGCGAAAAGTTCCGTGGTTTTTGGTGTTTCCAATGCCAGACGATAGGGAGTGTGATGAGATTGGTCCGGCCAACTGCAGTTCACGCCAAAAAACAATAATCTTGGACCCATGAAATCGAGAAATACTGGTGTACCAGCGAGATGTGCTCACGTGATTACCATTCGAGTCTATCATTTTCAGCGAAAAAGCAACTTTCACGCCGGCTAACCAGACTCAAATAGTAACCAAAAAGAAAGACAATGGGAATATTGTAACGAAACGGGCATAGCGTGTTGCGTTATCCTATTGCCCGGCTAACATCGCTCGAGCACACATTATAACTGTATTGTGTGTGTTCGACATTGCTGCATTGTTGTACTGTTTATCAAGCTAGACCGATTCGTCCCGACAAGAGCTGGATGATAGCGTCGGTCGTCTTTTGTGACATTCGATTTGTAAAAAGCACTGTGATTTCCCTCTCTGGCAGACAAATTCGCCATTCTTAGAAGTAGAGAGTCTCTTGTATCGGTATGGCGAGTTAGTTCCCATAAATAGGAATTAAGTAGAAATATCAAGACTGTCTCGCAAGGCGGAAGGGACCGTTTTCTCTTAGTGCACGTCCCCATGGACAGAGTGCCACGAGGCGCCCGTGCGAAGAAGCACGATACTGTAGACAGAGGACGAGCAGATCCGACCTAGAGGCAACACACTTCTTTGGGCTATTGTTGGACGCGCTCATCTCGTGAATTCCCACCTGTCGAAGTGAGGTCACTTCGCAACTTACTTACTTTCTTACTGTTGTGAGTTACAATACCTTTATTCCATCCACTCTTGCACGAGTCTATGGTTTTTGCAAGATATTCGATAAATCTGATTTGATGACTTAATTAAAAGTTGGTTTCCTCGTGCTCCCACTGATCCGTCTTTGATTTACAGTGCATTGTTGTTTTTCTTGCATTTGGTTGCCCTTTTGTGGTTTCATTCTTTTGTTCTATCATCAGAAACTAAGCGAAATCATGCAGAAAAACGCAGACGACAGAGGACGTCGCCCTGAGCTGTCATGAAAGGTTAACAAACCAGACGTCATGCCTGGTGAACGATTCGACTGTTTGAAACTACCGGTGTAACGGTGGATGCTACTGATTAGGCATGCGAGTAGTATGTGGTTTTCTCGTAAATCCGCTCTGCGTCCACTAGAAAGTGGGATTTATTACGGAATTGGGGAATTGCTTTGTAGCATCCGTTTGAGTGGTAGTCAATGAATATCCAGGAAAGTTCAGGAAGACGCGTGGAAGAAGAAGACGGATATTCAGTTTACAAAAACAAGATGCATATGAGAGTTTTGTATTCCTATCCAATAGTTTTTAACTGTTCAGTTGGTGTTTTCTAATAAATAACACCGCAGCGAAGGCCTTCTTCCTGTGCACCGGTATTTCGACATTCTGGCATGTCGCCTGTCAACGACGGATTGAGGGGACGAAAAAGTGTGGCGTGCGTAACACAAAGAGCCAGTAAACAATCCAAAAAGGTATCTATCGGAATACAGGACTCACACAGTGGCGGGATCGGTTTCTTCCACATCTTTGTGTATGTCTGCAGACAACATCGCACGGCACACGATCACCAGGATAACTGCATAGAGACAGAGGAGGCCTGAAAATGGGAGAGGGAAGTGCCACAGGTTGAGACAAATAGGGAAGAGAAGCTGCAGACGCGAACAAAATCCAACTCAATAATGAGTTTAAGAACTTTCAGAGATTCGGAGTCATAATCACGACTATGTCCCTGAGGGTCATCGTCATCGACAGCATGACATCAGTGACAAGTGCCACAGGTTGAGACGAATACGGAAGGGAAGCTGCAGATGCGAACAAAATCTAACTCACTAATGAGTTTAAGAACTTTCGGAGATTCTGAGTCATAATCACGACTATGTCCCTGAGTGTCATCATCATCGACAGCATGACATCAGTGTTCAACACCGATGCTTCACTGCCGTACAACCATGATTTATTTGAAAGAATTATTGTAAAGAAAAGAGTAAAGGTGGACGGGGAAGGGATTTGGTGCTCGCTTACCACAATCATTCCGAGGTGCCTACACCTCCAGACATTCACTCAGGAGATCTGGATAGAAACTGACAACAAGAACGCCACTGACATCGGTTGGCAGCCACATCTTGTAGTGTCTCCAAACAGGCACAGTGAGGATAACGCGGTCCCCATCCTGGAAGGCGTGTATTACCGACAGCACCCAAGCGTTTCGTGACCTTTTTCATACTCCTCTGTCAAGTCAAGGGTTGGCCACCTCTCTATTTACGCCACTCTGAATTGAGCATGGAAAACAGTACTCTCTCCGGCAAACGATGGTTCCCCCAGTGTAATACGTAGGAAGCGATTTTCTGTAGGTTCGATTAGACAATGGTTTGACTCCACTTAGGAAGACGGGGTCTTGGGATTTGCAGAAAGTTGATGTCCTTTGACTCAATACACGGTGTGGTCTACAGCAAAATTCATTATATAGCCTTGAAATAGCCGCTCACCCGCAAGATGCAGTCATCGGACATCTATCAGTGTTGTTCGTATCCGCGGCCTGGTTCAGCTGTACCGCAAATGGTTCTGCAGCCGTCGGGTACCAGCGATTGACTGGTCATACATACGCGTTATCGCTCTAAACTTCTCGGTCAAATGCCACTGGATCAAAACAATCGCAGTTAAGATCAGATTTGTTGTCCTCTAGGCGGAACCCTT